CCCATGTGTGATGAACCTAATATTAATGATGATGATAATTTGGAGACTAATGATGATAAAAATCAAAACAATTATTAAATTAAGTTCTTATTTTTAATTTTTTCTTCTTCTAATGTTTGTGTTTAATTTCCCATTTTGTAAATGGAAAATGACAATTTATCTATGTTGGATGAGTTGATGATTTTATTTTGTACTATTAATTACGTGCAAAGGACATATATAAGTTTGAATTTTAAAGTCTCTCTTAGTTTCAACTATATATATGTTTTTGGGAAAATGCACAAGTATTCCCAATCTATGCCCGAAATTTCAGAGACACACTTACATTATACTAATGTCTCATTATCTCCTGAACTTATTCTACGTGTAACTATCTTGTGGGCCCAACGCGTGTTGACTTTTTTTTCTTCAAGCCCACGTAGGTCAAAAAGAGATAGAAAATTATTTAGAAAATAATAATAGAACAACAGTATAACATAAGTGTGTCTCTGAAATTTCGAACATATTTTGAGAGATACTTATGCATTTTTCCTATATTATTTATTAAGAAATTTCTAGAAAAAACTATATGTTAAAAAAAAGATGAGGAACAACAAGCAACATATAGCATGATCGACAAGAAGTTGAGGTTGAATGTGGTGTAAACATTGATTTGTTTTTCATTCTCTTAGTTTATTTTTGTTAAATCATTAAAATACTTTATCGATCATTAAAACGATAAATATATACTCTTATACCTCAACAATATATAATTTTTAGGTTATTTTAAACTTGATCATTTGTAATCTCATTTGGTATTGCTACGCGTAATATAAAGTATATCATATAAAGTACGAAAAAGCATCGAAATTGTCCCTAAATTATGTGAAATAGATCATTTGTACGCTCTATTACATTTTGAGCTCAAAAATTTCTTCATTGTTATATTTTATACTGTACTAAGGTCCATTTATCCCCCTGAACTTATTTTATAAGTAATTTTCTACCCCTTTTCGGTCTACGTGGCACTAGCTTGAAAAAAAGTCATTCAATGTTGGGCCCACAATATAATGTCACGTAGGCCGAAAAGGGGTAGAAAATTATTAATAAAATAAGTTCAGGGGGTAATAAGACCTTAGTATAGTATAAGTGTATCTCTGAGATTTCAGGTATAGGTTGAGGGGACACTTGTGCATTATCCCTTCAAATTACAATGTATAAATGAATTATACAAGACTGAACGATTTGTATGAAATTGGATGTAACTAGCGAATTATACAAATCAAAAGCTCCATAGCAACATAAAATTTGTTGTGGAGCGCAATTATGTAAACTATAGTTATAACATAAAAATAAAATTTTTATGTTTTTTATATGTGACAGTTGCTCTTAATTAATTCTACGCAGACCCTCTTGTCAACTAAGCTTATACATTTTGGACCCTTTAACGTTGATAATTAATTTTTGAAAATTAATCGAGATAGTCACTTATTCAACTCCTTAACTAATTATATGACTTAAGATAACATAATCTTTAAAAATTCTTATCATTTGAATTAATTAAAAAATAATAAAAATCTTTTCCTTCTCTTTTACATTCGGATACATCATTTTATCTCAATCATAATAGGCATGACACCTTTTATTGTGTACAATGTATAGTACACATGTTATTGTTAATTTACATAATTTAAATTTATCAAATCTGAATCATAATGAATCTTCTTATGTACCAGGTGTATAATTAATGTATTGTTTACTCTGTATCAGGTGAAAAAAATAATATATCCGTGAGTTTTAAAAAAATTGAGATTATGATAATTCTGAAAATTTTTGAGATAAGTGTGATCTTTCCACGTTTATTAGTCGCATTTTAAATACTAAAACACAAAATTTCCCAATTGTCGATTCAAAAAATGACATTACATATATAAAATTACTCCTTTTTAACACACATTATAATTATATATATATATATATATATATATATATATTGAAGATACATGTAATTGTGAATATTTTGTCAACTTTTGTTAGTGTGCACACCATCTGCAAATGATACAAAATACAATGAACATGTGTGATGGCTTTCAAATATATTCATTTTGATCCAACTAAATATTTAAACATGATTTTCAAATATGAAAAAAGTGTGATGGCTTATACCAAAAAATAAATATATATTTATATCTACTATCATAATGTTTTTATTGGGTTTAACCGGAGAGTTATAGTCAAAGCTTTTTGATCGTTTTTTGCTTTATGAACATATATAAGAATAAGATATTATGTTAAAAATTTTCAAAATTGACATAGAACTTTGCGTTTGATCATGTCTCATTGTGAACTTTTTTTTAAAAATAATTTTTATTTTTAACGTGAAAATAATATTTGAAAATTAAAAATATTTCATATTAAACGTATAAATAACAGTAATATAGAAATTTAAAACACTTTTTAATATGCCACGTCACTTTGTTGTGGTCAATTCAGTTGAAATGTGAGTCCAATAATACAATGACAGAATCCTCTTCAACAGACACTGAAAACTTAAAAAGTGAAAGGTTTTACACTTTTACTATGATTTTTTTTTTACTTTTTTCAGAGTTAAAAGCATCGAAAAATACTTTATTGTGAAGATAGAGAGACTATTTTTAATATACTTTCGACTTAAGTGAAAAGTTCGACTTTGAAGTTGATTAATTCCGGAAAATAAACTCTCAAAAAATTAATTTTTATAATTTTTATTACAACTCAATCATAAAAATTCAAATACAACTCTAATTTATACTCCCCTATTTCAAAAAGAAGATTAAGACATACATTAGTCATAATTAACTTTCTATTTTTATCCTTGATTAATTCATTTCAAATTTATAATTAAAATAATAAAACATTAATTAATAACTAGTTCCAATAATATCTAATGAAGGTAAAATTGAAAGATTATTTTAAAAATAGTGTTGAAAATTGAACAATTAAGTTAATTTGAAAAATAAATATCAAACGTCGATAGATAAGACCAATTAAGGGAAAGTGCTTTATTTTAGGATTCTCGAATTAGAAATATTTCGTTGATAAATTCCAAAATACATGAAAATGAATAAATAAATAATAAATCTTTCCTTCTTTAACAAAAAATAAAAAAAAATAGCATGAAGCAATTACAAAAGATATATTTTTTTTTTAAAAGAAAGAAATTTTTTGAAGTATAATTTCGAAGAATCTAGAGTTGTTGTATATACGTTTATAATAATCTCAATACAAATATGTGGTTAACTTGATATGAACTATATACCAAACCAATAATTTCTATTAATAATTGATCTAACCAATTACAAAAAATAGTAACTAATAATGAAAAAGTCAAAATAAACAAAACTTGTCCAAATTCTCCTAATTCTTTGGCTGCACTTCATTTCCCAGTACATTCTACCGAAAGGTCGATTGTCGAAATTTCAACAAATTCTTTTTTATTAAAATGCACATTCTAGAGAGTCTCTTCATTGATCTGGTGATCGATTATTAAATAGTACATTCTATTGAAAGGTCGATTGTCAAAATTTCAACAAATTTTCTTTTATTAAAATGCATATTCTGGAGAGTCTCTTCATTGGTCTGGTGATTAATTAATCATCCAAGAGCGCAACCATCATGTTTAATGAATTGATGGAATTTAGTATAAATATTATAGTGACGGGTGAATAACTTCTTTTTTTTTTTCAATAAAGATTCAGATAAAATCAAACTTGTCTGGTAGTGTTCGATTTCATTTTTTTTTTCATGTTAACCTTCTTGTCTCAAGGAAACTTTTATTAGTGGAATCACAAGATTTTAAGTATTCAAGAAATGCAGCAAAATTTGTGTCTTTGTAAAGACTTGGATTTGTTTCACTAATTAATTTAGGTGATGGCTTTATTATGCTATTGAATGGAAGACTATGCAAAGAAGCCACTGAAATTCTTGACTTTAAAGAGTTCACAAGAACTCTATGTAACACACTTTTGTATTTTCCATTGCTAAATATCTGCAAGAAAATAAAATTAAAAAAACCATGTCAAAAAATTATGAAATTGGAACTTTAAATGAAAATTAAAAGAAAAAAAAATGTTTAAATTAATAGTTTAGTCTTTGTAATAGTAGTCCATTTGTTTCATTTATGCGTCTTAATTTGATTCACAATAAATTTGAAGGAAGTACTTTTTTCGTCTAAAATTATAGATATTTTAGATTTGAGCATTTGAATTATGAAATTCACGTACTCCTAAAATTAATAGGAATTTTATTAAAATATCCTTAATTATGATTTCTTCTTTTAGGTTGACATAATGAAATCTGTTTATTGAAGTAGGAATATGTCTAGGGAAAAAGAATTGACAAAAAAAATTCTTGATTTTGTGTCAAATTATTTTGGATTAGAGGAAGTAATTCGAAAGACTTTGAGTTAATTTTAAACCAGTCACGTGAAATATTAAAATCAAAGAGTTATCAAAGAATTATGGAGGCATTTTTGAAATCTTGAATCCATAATTTCAAACATCTGATTTGTTAACGATATAATGAGATTTAAATTCTAAATTCGCTTCTGTATAAATAGACTATAATTATTTATTGAGCGGTCTGATAATTTATAAATCTCCACATATTATCAGTATATAGAAGTTTAAACTTCAAAACATCTCGCACCTCACGATGGTCTAACATCTAACGAGTTCAGCAACAAAAACCTAGCTACCTAAAAACAAAACTTATACAATTTTTAAATCTTAATCTCTCTATTAAACGATCAAAATGTAACTATAAGACCTCTTAGTGTACGTCAGGTCAAGTCAGTGTATAAAAGTTAAACTCGAAAAATATCTCGTACCTCGAGGTGGTCACCAACATTGACCACAAAAGCATTAGGGATGGGTTGAATAGTGACCCAATCATCATTGGACTTGACTTGTAAACCTTCAACTTCATCTTGGAGTAGAAGAGTTAAAAATCCATAATCAGAATGAGGTGGCATTCCAAGTGTCAAATCAGGATTAGGACAAGGTGGATAAAAATTAACAGCCATTAGCTGGCTTCCATCTTCAAATTCTTTTAACATTATTTCTTCATCATTTTGTTGTGTCTTGTTTTTTGTTGCAACGTTAATTCCAAGACTTTCTAGGATGGCTTCCACTAACTTTATAAATAAGATTTTGGTCTCTTTAGAGTATGTAACTGCCATTTCCCTGTTTAAAATTCAAACACAAAATGTTAAAAAGAATTATATATTAATCGTTTTAATTTATTTATCTGGTTTTGACATAATAAGGAATTTTAAAAAATAAAAAATATTTTTTATATTATGTAGTTTTAAATTAAAAGATACACCATGTAAAAGGTATTAGAATGTCTTTTCACCTTGTAATCTTAAATATATCATATATAAAGTTGACGCTAAAAAATTATCAAAAAAATAAAACACTTTTTTTTTTAGCTGAAAAGGAAAAAGATTACAAATAGATTAAAATAGAGAGTATAATGATTATGACCCTTATAGTATAATATAACACTATCAAATCATGAAATATTATATCTAGTACATGGTCACTAGGGATTGTAGCTTTTTGCTTATAGTGATAACCATGCAAGAAGAATATATAATGGAAAAATTGATAGGGGGAGTATAATTTATATGTTTAGAAGACAGTTCGGTGTACGAAGTATTGTGAGTTTACATCAGGTTTGAGGAAGGGTCCCATCCTAAAGGATGTTTATACAAAACCTGTTTTGATGTAAAGGTGAAAAGATGATTCTATAACTTAACATCTTGACCTATAAATCACATGAAGACGAACTTATCGTTACTTCAAGACACTAACTTAATTTATTTCGAGGTAAAAGAGACAATTCGATGCACGAAATATCCCTACACTTGCATAGGGTTATACCCTATAGGTAGACAGACATGTTAAATGTAGTCCGTCTATCTTGACGCAAGTTTCAATGACTGGTTCTAGAGCTCTAACTCGTGATCCATAAATCAAATGAAGATTATATTATCGTTGCTCCAAAAGTCAAGCTCAATTTATATACCTCTAGGAATCGTTTCATGTGACGGATAAAAAATAAATAGTCATGCGATAAAAAAATAGTTTAGGAATAAAATTTTGGTGTCTTGTTTGGATGACTTGTCCCACTACTTATACCATAGTGATATGATAAGTTATCCCCTATATGTAAAAATAATATATATAGTGAGATAAGTTATGCTAGAATAACTTGTTCCAGACCAGATCGTAAACTAAAAGAACTTTTGATCTTACCTAAAATAAGAAGGAGAAGAAGGCCAATGAGGAAGGACTTGAGGAAGAGGGTCACAAACAAGCTTGAGAAAGTCCCTCCAACAAAAGACACCATCTTTTGTTTGATTAAAACTTGTCCCATATCTAACTGGTGTTGTCATGTCTTTTGTCATGTACTTTTCCCTTTCTACTAATGGAAGATCAAAAAACCTTCCTCCAACATCCACCATATTTTTTATTACCTCTTCTGGAATCCCATGGTTTGTCAACTGCATGACAACATTAAAAATCACAACATTAGTTAACCATTAAAAATAAGGTAGATACAACTAATTAAGTGTAGGGTCAACTCATAGTCATTTAGGACCTCTTAAAATGATATACTCATTTCGTCTCAATTGATGTGATGATATTTGATTTGACTAAAATTTGTGGTCTGAAACATGTCACGTCACTGCTAAAGAATATGAATTTCTTATGGTGTTGTCAAAAATGACATTTTTGTGACTATGAAATTAGGGAAAATGCACAAGTATCTCCCTAGACTATTGACGAAAATCTCAGAGACACCTTAACTATTGTAAGGTTCTATTACCTTCCCTGAATTTATTTTTTTTTTGTAATTTTTTGCACCTTTTTTGCTAACGTGGTATCCAAATATCTCCCACGCGTCATAATTGCGTGGAGTCATGGTGTGTGCTTCGTAAGACAAAAGATGTATAAAATTATAAAAAAATAAATTCAGGGGTAATAAGACCTTAATTTAGTTAAGATGTGTGTCTGCCATAAATTATATCATCAAGAGTTTATGATATATGAAGTTCAAAGTTAAAATTTTTCTAAATATATAAAGAAATGTTGTTCTTTCTTAGGACAGACTAAAAAAGAAAGTATATCACGACACGTTACCTGAAAAAATCCATAGTTTTCACAGGCATAGGAGAGTGAATCAAGAACTTGAGCTCTATTAGGACCATAGAGTTGAGAAAAATCTATGACAGGCAACTTAAGATTGTGTTTGCTAGCAACTTGTGGATTTTCATTTATAGTATAACAATTTGGTCTTTCTGAAATAGGAAAAATGTATTTCTTTGGAACTTTTTGAATTCCACTTTCATGCAAATACTTTACTCCTTTATGATAATCTTCAATTTCATTCTTCAATTTTTCACTAGATTTTGCCAATGATGGAGACATTTTTTTAAAAATAAAAATTGAAAAGAAGAGAAATATATAAGAGGAATTTGTATGTATATTGAAAAGGAGATGGTGGGAATTAAGAAAATAAGTGAAGTACTTATATAGAGAAAAAAAAAATATATCAAGAAACAAATAGGATCTAGTTTCCAAAACCAGCTTTGGTTTTTTTTTTCTTCTTTTTTTTAAAAGAAAAAAAAAATAATAATCTTGAATTCCAAGTGGTGGTTTTTGATTTGATAAAGTGAAAAACCGTTTGACATTAATGTAGAAGTGTTGACCCCATTGGTGATAATAGATTATGATGTGGTGTGGGGCTATTCCTAATTAGATATTTCGAATTTGAATTTTGTGTATAGAAAAAAATAATATTGAGAGTATCATTTTAAAATAAATTGCGACTCAGATTTAATTAGGATTTCAATATGAACTCCGAACATCAAGGTGAGAAATAAAAAAATAATAGATTATGATGTGGTGTAAGATTCGAGTCTTGTGTATGGATAAAATAATGTTGGGAATATTATCTTAAAATAAGTCGCGATTCAAATTTAGTCAAGATTTCAATATGAACTTCGAACGTCAAGATAGAAAATCAAAAAATAATAGATTATGATAATGTGTCTAAGTCAATCTGTATACACTTCGAATAATTTCACTAGGTATATATCATCTTTATCCGATATAAATATCGAATAATTTTATTCGATGACTCGGACAAATGAGAAAGAAATAAAAAATGAAGATCAACCAAACAATTTTTTGTCTTCGTAGAAATTTCATTGCTTGATACAACTTTATGCAAGGAAAGTTCAAATAAATATTTAAAATGTCAGATTTGGTATTTTTGAACCAAATAAATATTTAAAATGTCATATTTGGTATTTGAACATGTGGCATAACAAATATAGTACTCCCTATTTAAATAAACTTTTTTGTTAAAAGGATTCAATCGTCTAACACCCAACGAAATTTAATTTTAGCCTATGAAAAAAGAAGATTCTAAATTTCTAATTAACTCGCCCCTCGACTCTACGAAGCTCTGCCGTTATATGTTACACATGCTTATACCTAACACCCAACGAAATTTAATTTTAATCTATAAAAAAAAAAGATTCTAAATTTTTAATTAACTCGCCCCTCGACTCTACGAAGCTCTGCCGTTATATGTTACACATGCTTATACAAACATTATATACATATAATGATTGTTATTCGTTGTTTTCCTAAAAGTCCATTAATTTTTTTATTAGATATTATTTCTTTAAACAAAATTGATGAACTGAATCGATTTTTCCTTCAATTTTTTTGGACCAATACTTTTTATCGATTTTTATATTATTTTTATTATTATATACTATATATTATACAATATACAAAACAACCCCTCCTCTTTCATGGCCAACCAAAAACAAGGAGTTGGTTTATGTGGGGAGTTGGGTTTTTTTAAAAGGGGTGGGGGGGGGGGGGGGGATGTCTTGACTTTTTAAGTACAATTGGGGGGGGGGGGGGGGGGTGGGGGGGTTCTCTTGGCTCATAACAATAATTTGATATATTTCATGTTTGTATAATTTCTTGGAAGCTTGATTAGTCCTTTATATTTCAATGGTCATGAAAATTTGAGTCCTTTTTTTGGCCTAATTTTGAATTGTCATGCCATTTTTGACTGGCCATTACTATTGATTGGTTCAAAACCTTGAAGTTTTACAAGTGAATTGGTCCATCTATCAATAGTTTACTCTATTATTAGTAGCATGTTCTAAAAAAAGAAAAGAAAAAGGTATTCATTTAATTTAGACGGAATGAGTTAGAAGACGTTTGTATTTAACTTTATTTGTCAGTTGGATACGATTTTGGTAATTGAATCTTTAAACACGTTGAAATACGATATTGGTGAATGTTGCATTGTATGTGATAACATATTGTACATAAAAAGCAGAGCTAGAATTTTCATTTTATGAATTTTAGATTCTAAAAATTAGTACTAGTTGTTATTGATTTAGATAAATAATTATTTAAACATAAAATACAAGATCTCAATTAAAGTTATTGAGTTCTGTCTAGCCCCCAACCTAATTTTGTATCAAAATTGACTTGAATTCCGCACATACATTAAATCACACTAATTTACTAGGACTATATGATAAATAATACAACATACCTAAGTCAGTCCCACAAATAAAATCCTAAACTTACTAATTAGAGTTGAAATAAATAAGTCCGTTTTATTTACTTCGTATATCTCTATTTATGTGCTTCCGTAAAAGATAAGGTAAAATAATCATTTTTTGATGATATGCATTCAATATTACGATTTTTATAATTTTGAAAAATAAGATCTAATCCGAATCAAGATAAATTTTGTTAAGATAAGCACACCTTTAATAGAGTTTCCAAAATTGCATGAGACCAACACACGCATATAGCCAATAAAATTACTCAAATTCAAATCCAACATTGAATAATGATCATTCTACTTTTTCAGAATTTCTTTTAAAAAATTAAAGCATAAACTTTAGAGCGATATACACATTAACAAAGGAGTGATAAAGCATTTATGGATATTAGTTAATTCTCACTTAAATCAGTGTTGTTATAGACATTAGGGACATTTACAAATAATGTTAAATGTCGCTAAAAAAAATATTTTTAGTAACAGTTAAAATATTGTTATTAATAGATTGTCGCTAAAGATAATTTTCTATATAATGAATAATTTTTTGTGTCATATTTTAACAGTTAAAATTGATAATCGATAAATCTAACCACTCCGAGTAAGTTATGCTTACATGTTTGTATGTTTACGTATATAAAACTTTAAAATAAATAAGAAATTCATATTATTTTTTTCAGAATAGTAGAAAACATTTTTTCAAACACACCCTATGTTTAGATACTTCTTTTTTCATTAACTTTAATTTTTAATTTTATTTTTGTCCACACCTTTGGAATTACTAGTTGTATATAAGACATGTGATATCTCATCAATTAGGAAAATACATTAATGTGTCAAGATTTATCCTCTATCCAACCAAAACACTAAAACTAAACTAATCCATGCATTACAGCTATTAATTACTTGGTATTTTAATTATTAACTTTATTTCACGCATGTCATACTAAAATAATAATAATAATAATAATAATAATAATAATAATAATAATAATAACAATAATATCTAATAAGTTTATAAAGTCCCCACTTTATATTTAATTAATAAACCTCTCATTCCTTATTGGTGATTAATTTATAACTTTTTTCCTGAATTAATTAGTGTCTGACCTTTTGCCCTCCTACCTTATAACCACTATATTTATTTATCCTATGGTTCCAAATATTTAGCCCCTTAACTAATAATAATTAATTAATTAATATATATATGTTCAAGTATATTCATAATATAACACTTCACTAATCTCAATGGGTGCTCTCAATATAAAAAAGATTGACTTTTTTTTTCTTTCAATAACTCAAATCTAAAAATTGACTAATTATTTAATTAATAGGAAACTCTCAAGTTGACTTCCTTAAAACCAATAGAAGTAAAGGAAAATAAAATCTCTCACTTACTCATTTTCTTATACTATATATATATATATATATATATATATATATATATATATATATATATATATATATATATATATTATATATTTGATATATAATCACAAATATAATATACAAAATTTATAAAGTTATATATATTTGGTAGTGTAAAGATTATCCAAATATATGATTAGCAATTAATTGTCATCATTTTAAAACACTACCAATTAATGTCATTTCTTACTAAATGTATAACTACGAGTTATTTGGTGGTGTAAATATTTATAACAAAATATCAGTATGTGACTCAGATATAAATTGTGTACTATGAGTTGTACATACTAACACTTTGAAGTATTTAGAGCTAACGACCAAAAATACATCGAAATTATCATACAAGTTTCATACCTCAACAATTTATCGTTTTATTTACCTATTTGAACTATCATTTATTTTGTATTAAAACACATACTTCGATATTGAGCTGGATTACATACGTCGATATTATCGATTGAGAACAAATATTTCACCAACTTTAGCATCGAGGCAAGCTATAATACAAAGTGACTGATAGTTTAGGATATAAAGTAAACAGAGACAAGTTCGATGAAAAAGAATGATAATTTATTTTTTGATCATGAACTTATGTATTTAGAATGGTGCGTTGACATAATTTTACCTCATTATTCTACAAATTAGTTGTTTAAAAAAACTTGAAAACTTAAAAAAAAAAAGAAAAGTCAATTATCTAACCATCCTATCAAATAAAAACGTGATGATGCATGTGTGGTTAGGGTTGAGCCAAGCTGGTCACTTATTTTGTCACTTTGTTCTTGATTCATTGCATGATTTTTTATCCACGTCATCTTGTACCATAGTTTATTTATTTCTTTGTATATAATCATAAATAATATATGTAAAACTAACATATAAAAAGATGAAATTAAAATGTCAATGGCTAGTTTTGATAGCTTTAATTGTTTTTATTTCATCTAGTATAGGACATTATAATTGTCTAACACCCACCAAGTGGACTTTTTTTTGGTATATGTAATTCAAATGATCATATATGTAGGGTAGCTAACTGAATTCAATCATCGAAAATTATATCGTATATATATATAAAAAAAAATAAAGAATCATTTGATCTTATTAAAGGTTGGCATCAAAAAGACCAAAAAAGTTGTTGGAATCTTATATAGTTTGTGGGAGGACTTATATGCGTTAGGATCGAATTCACACACACACTTGATGAATTAAGAACTCAAGAACTTTCAAGAGAAAGAGATGAGAGATATAGAGAGAGAAATAGAGAAATCAATATTTTGTGGTAACACCTCGTGAGTAAACTTCCACGGCAGTGGGGTATATATATATATTAATAAATCAGAGTATTTTTGATTAAAATAAATGGAGAATAAACAGTTATATTTATTAATCAAGCTCCACAACTTAACAATATGATTTAGGGTAATATAATTCTTCTTTTATAAGCTAACTTTTGAAGTGGATTCCGCCTAA